TCAGCACTGAGCTGAGTGAGACATCTCTGGACCTTTGTGTCCAGCTCTGGGCTCCCCAGCACGAGGACAGGGACATTCTGGAGTGACTTCAGCAAATAGCCAGGAAGGTGATAAAGGGATTGGAGCACCTGGCATACAAGGTGAGACTGAGAGAGCTGGGACTGTTCAGCCTGGAGAAGGCTCAATGTGTATCAACACCTGATAGGAGGGAGTAAAGAAGATGGAGTCTTCCGTGGAGTCTCCATCCTTGGAAACACTCAAAATTGGAGCTGGACGGGGTCCTGAGTAACTTGCTCTAGTTGACCTTGCTCAAGCAGGGGAGTTGGACCAGGAAATCTCCAGAGGTGCCTTGCAACTTTAACCATTCTGTGATTCTACAATTGCAACTTTCTTCTTCATTTCTGAGAGATTTAACAAATATTTTAGATAAAGTAGGCCCTAGTGTTGGTGTATTTTGGAGATGAGGATCAAAACACTGACCTTTGCATAAATTTCAGTGGCAAGAAAAAGTATAATCCCTCTTACTGCATGGAATAACTACAGTATTTTATAGTAGGTGGCATTTCCTAGACTTTTCCCCTCTATCTGTGTAAAAGAGAAGATCATGAATTAGAACAATTGCAATGGTTTCAGTTCCAGTTGCAAAATATGGGCTGAAGAAGAAATATCCTAAAAAAAAATCATAAATGTGATTTGAATCCAACTATATTGCCATGTTCACACAGTGCGGATGATGTCACTTCTAACTGAGACAATACTTCCATATGGCACAAGGGAGACATTATTTAAAAGCAGTATTAAACAAAACCCCTAAAAAAAAGGTGATTATGATAGCCTAGCTTGCTTTTTCTGAACATGGATACTTTACTCTCCTTGCAAGCCATACTTTAAATTCCCTCATAGATTCAGTGATATTCAGTGCTACCCTATGAAGATATGATTTGTACCAGCAATTTTTAACTCCCATTAACATTGACATGTTCTATAAATCAAGTCATCCATTCTCTATGTGATATATCTGAATATATCTGTATCTACACCATTTACATCAGTTCAGGTTTGGGTAACTTTTCTCTGTCAAAGTCCAGATTTCAGAATTGTATATCTCAATTAAATTGGAAAATTGATTATTTCTGCAGATACCTTTGTATCCATTATTTGCATACATATTCAGATTAGCTTTCTTGCATATAGTAGACACATTTGGAAAAAAAAAAATCTGATATCTGATTTTAAACCAAGTCCTTTTGTATTACTGTGTGACAGATAAATTTGCTCTAACAGGGAAAATTATAATCTGTTAATGATGATAAGACAACTCTCAGTTTTCCAGTTCAAAACTTTTAGCTGAATGGTGCAGATGTTAATTAATTACATCAGTGATGATTTTTTCATGTCCAATCTAAGACATCAAAAAAGCATTTTTTCAGACCCTGACTTCTGAAAATAAAACCTGTCTTCCTTAAATGAACTCTGTGCTCCAACTCTTGTATCAAAAAATGACTACACACTTTTGTTTCATGACCTTTTATAGATTGGATTTTGGTACCTTTTGTACAAATTATCACCATCTACCTGAAATGATACAAATGCAATCAATTACTACTTTTGTGTTACATTTTAACCAACCCAAGTTAGTTAATGGTAACCTGGAACAAATATTTTGAATTTGGCTTTAATGATAAATTGACTCTGGGAGGTAAAATACTGACTTTGGAAGCCCATTAAAAACATTCATCTTAGGAGACAAATTCAGAGTACCTTATATGGACTTATTTAGCTCTGTGAAGGTTTTACTAACACAAAACATGTTTCTCTACAAACCTTCCTGCAAGACCATGTGAATAAAATTTGAGACATTTTGACAACAACTCAATAACCATTTAAAAAAATCCTTTTGTTCGTAACGATTGCCTGATAACTCAAGCAATTAGAAATGAATTTATTGGACAGAAATGAGACATGTACTAGGTGGAATTCACACAGTATCTAAGAAATGACAAAATTCAGAGAAAAACTATTACCATGAGTTAGTGGTTCAAATTATTGTCTAGACCTGTCACAATAAAAATATCATTATTACCTTCTGAGTCTTCTTTCTGTGACAATTACAGCTTGAAGAAAAAAAAAGCAAATACAAAAAGAAAGAAGCTTGTAAGACATGTTTTGAAATTTCCAGAGAAGCACACTTCTTTGTTAACTCTAAGCAACATATTTTACAAGACTTTGAGAGAAAGCAATGTTGGAGCACATGATAATTTGCCACCTAATGAAATCTGCAATTTCTGAATTCCTATACACAATGCTATGACATCTGTTTACACAGATGCAAGATCATCTTTTATCTACGAAGTTCTCCTTGTGCACCATGTTGACAGTAGCCAGCAGACAAGGCCAATATATTCTGGTCAGTGGGATCTGACATAACTTCTCGGGACAGTTTATCAATCTGGGCCTTGTGCCACACTAATGTAATTTCACAAAGACTTGCCAAGTCAGCCAGGACCCAACATGGCCACTGAGGTGAGTTTTTATTTAGGCTTTTACCTGACCAAGGCTTTCAGGTCCTAATTCTTGGCAGAGCTGGGGATGTGATGACGTGGGAAAAAGCAAAAACAGTTATGATCCTGGCACTACTGGTTAAGATGGGAACATGCAGACCATGCCATGGCCAAAGGACGTAATCTTGTCGCCCCTCAGTGTAAGTATTAGTGCCAGCTCCCTCCTGTCCAGGTTTTCAATACACTTTATCTGCACAATGACCATATTACAGAAAGAAGCCCTGCCTGGGTTAAATCCAGGTCCAGATAGTAAACACGTAAATCAGTACCAACTAAGGAGAGCAAACCCATGTCTACTTAAAAATACATCCTGCAAACACAATATAAGATAGTCAGGAAGAAAATATGTCCAGAACATAAATTACACTGCTCAAAATTAAGCTGATAAAACTGAGTCCCCTGGATTTTGTACCAAAATCCTTTCTTGCTGAGGATGGATCCATTTGCTTTCCAATGCAGTTGATGGAGATGGCAGTTTTCCATTCAACTTAATAAGCCAGTGGCAAGACCTGTTATCTAGTCCGTGAAGGTCTGGACAAGTTCACATGGTTCACAGTCTGAAGTTGTGGCAAAACAAATTTAATTCTCATCCTGCTGATCCATATGACCTCTGCAAGACAACAATTACAGATGGTGAAAAATTACTTTTGTTTCATCTCTAACATCAGTAGCTTTAAAAAAAATTATATGCAATAAACACTTAGAAATTAATACAGAAGTATTTCTGCAGTTTACTCTGTGTTACAGCCAGGTATCGCAGGCTGAGCTGTACACAATTTGTAATTATTCAGGTTCCTAAGAACGCGGTGGTTAGCGATTTCAGGTAGCACAGCTGCAGTGCATTCCTGTGCTGTCTGTGCCCTCTGCTGGTCAGGAAGGAGATGAGGGATGCTGCGATTCAGCCTCAGGGAATCACTCTTTTTGCAGAGGCAAAAAGCAGGAGGACACCAGAAGGAAAGGTCATGCTGCTGGGAACTCCAGTTGGCCGGCTGGAAAGTGCTGCCTAATAGAGCTCCAAGAAACCGTGCCCCGGAAATAATGGGCTCCCAGATTCACAGATGACACTAGAACAAGTTGCACAGAAAAAGTTGTGGATGCCCCATCCATGGAAGTGTTTCAAGGCCAGGCTGGATGGAGCTCTGAGCAACCTGGTCTAGTGGAAGGTGTCCATGGCAGGGGGCTGGAACAAGGTGATGTTTAAGGTCTTTTCCAACTCAATCCACTCTGTGATTCTATTATTTGGGCATGCACTAGCACTGCCAGGCTGATGAAAATGCCAGGGGATTTCCATGTTCCTTGCACAGGAGGAATAGACAGTGGTGGCCATCAGGTGGCTACTGCAGACTCAGGACTTCACTGAAGGCACAGCTGCGTCCTTTATCCCCAGGGTCGGTGCCAGACATTCTGCAAGCCTGAAAGTTTCAGTTTACAGGCTAGGGGGAGAGTGGTTGGAAAAGTGGTTTAGCAGAGAAGGACCTGGGGTCGCAGGTCAGCAGCTGGCTGAACACGAGCCAGGAGTGTGCCCCAGTGGCCAAGAAGGCCAATGTCATCCTGGTCTGTATCAGAAATAGTGTGGCCAGCAGGACTAGGGAACAGATGAGGCTGCACCTTGAGTGCTGTGTTCAGTTCTGCGCCTCTCAATTCAAGAAGGGCATTGAGGTGCTGGAGTGAGTCCAGAAAAGGACAACAGACCTGGGGAAGGGTCTGGAGCACAAGTCCTGTGAGAAGCAGCTGAAGGAGCTGGGGTTGTTTAGTCTGGAGGAGGCTCGGGGGAGACCTTATCCCTCTCTACAACTCCCTGAAAGGAGGTTGTACCAAGTGGGGATCGAGCTTTTCTCCCAGGCAACAAGTGACAGCATGAGAGGACATAGTCTCAAGCTGTGCCATGGGAAGTTTAGGTTGGACATCAGGAAGAATTTCTTCACAGAAAGGGTGATTAAACATTGGAATGGGGAGCCCAGGTAGGTGGTGGAGTGACCGTCCCTGGGGGTGTTTAAGGAAAGACTGCACGTGGCACTCGGTGACATGGTGGTGTTCGGACATAGAATCACAGAATCGATTAAGTTGGAAAAGACCTCTGAGATTGTCGAATCCAACCTGTTTCTTTCTCCCGTTGGAGTTAAACACCCGTAATTGTGAGCGGAGGCAACACCATCGGGCAGACGGGTCCTGCGGGGGAGATGGCGAGTCCCTTCCCGCGGTAAAACCGGCCCGTTTTCCGCCTCGGCGGCGGAGGTGCGGGCCCGGCCGGGACACCGGGGCCGGGAGGGGATCTCCGCCGGTCTGACGGCCATGCCCGGACACGGGCCCGGGCGGCGCTGCCTCCGCCGGGCCCCCAGAGGGCGCTGCCGGGCTCCCGTCGGGCCCCGCGGGCGGCTCGGGCGGTCCCGGACGCGGCGCTCCCACGTGTGCCGGGACAGCGGGGCCGACACCGCCGCGATGTCGGTGCCGGCGGCCGCCAGCAACCTGCCCATGCGTCTGCTCCGCAGGAAGATCCACAAGCGCAACCTGAAGCTGCGGCAGCGCAACCTGAAGCTGCGGGCGGGCGAGGGGGCAGGTACGGGCGCGACGGAGCCTCACCCCGGCTGAGCGCTGGCCGAGCCGCCGCTGACTTTGTGTTCTCTCCTCTCCCTCTTTCCCTCTCTCCCTGCACCCCGCAGTGCCCTCCCCGGGCCAGGCGGCTTCCCAGGGACCCCCGGAGGAGGAGGAGGAGGAGGAAGCAGCGGCGGCCCCGGAGATGGAGGAGAGGGCGGAGCCTGCGGACGCTGCCGGACCCGGCGGTGGGGAGAAGGAGAAGAAGAAAAAGAAGAAGAAAAAGAGGAAAGCGGCGGCTGATGCGGGAGATGGTGCGTTGTCTTAGCAAATACAGCTTGTCTCCCAGGGCTGGGCTATTCTTGGGCACCCCTAAAGCGCCTCCTTAGGGTTTCCGTCCCGTGCCATGTGCTGGTCTGGTGAGTGTTTTAAAGCCCCAGAGGTCTTTAGTATTACCTGTTTTATTGCAGCTGTAATGTTTGAACTCTAATTCATTCTAAACCTGTAGCAGCCAATGTAATTGTTGCATAGAATTCTGCTTGGTAATATTTAGTTCGGATGTTTTGCTTATTTATTGTACAAATGTACACCCTGTGTTTCAGAGTAGAGCTCTGACAGATGGGTGATCTCCGTGTTGGCTGTGCAGCCAATACGACTTTTTAGCAACATGTCCAGCCTTTGACAACATCTGTACATTATGAAACTAAAGTATACTGGAAAACTACCCAAAAAATAGCACTCCAGAAATATTGCTAGATTTTCGTGTATTTTTTTACATATGCATATATATACAGACATATATATTTTTCAAGCTTCTATTCCTCATGTGTTTAATTTTTGTGACACTTATCATGGTTATGCCAGTGAAAAGATGCTTTAATCCTCTGAGGATTCAGGTACTTAAAATGCAACAGAGACATTATGTTTCACATATTCTGAGCACAGACTATGTTGGAAACTTGATGTCTGAATTATAGATGGGAAAGAATTTTGTAACTTGTTTAAGGACAATTTATCTTGTTTCCACAGAAAGTATCATGTAATATACATTAAGCTTCATTGTTTTACTATGCAAAGTGGGTTGTATGGAAGGGACTTCGGAATTTTTGCCCCGTGCCTTTGAAAATTCAGTAGAAACCTTGCCTCCCCTTCTCCAGGCCCTTCCACCCGATGGAAAAGCATGATCTTTGTACATGGTTTAGAGATTAAAGGAGATGCAGTCTGTGGAATGGTTTTTCATTATTAATGTGTCCTTTTTATTACTAACTGACTTATCTTCTGTAAAACAATACTCTAGATACAGAAACCAAAAAAGCAAAAACTGAAGAAGATGAATCTGCAGAGGTAGAAAATGGAGATAAGCAGAATTCTGGAAAGAAAGAAGTGGAAGAGGAGGATGGGGAGGAGGATGAAGTGCCCAGTTTACCACTAGGTTTAACAGGTATCTTGTGTTCTCTTTTTCATGTGTGTGCAAAAACCCAAGGTCTAACACTTTCTTCCAGAGCAAGTTGCAGTTTTCAAATGATCTTTGTAATGCAGGTGCTTGAATTATGGTGATGTGACACTAGCAGCTGTTCAGCTGTCCTCCAGTTACTCTTCTTGGGAAGCTGCATTATATACACACCTGTTAGTCTTAAAATTACTAGTGAAAGTCTGTTTTTTAAACCTGTATACACATGTGTTTAACTGTAGAGGAAAAAATCCATTAAGAGCAAGGTGGAAACGTGCAACTAATAAATTGGCCATGAGAAGCAGTGGATTCATGTTCATTCTTATTAGCTCTGTGTAGTTTTCTTAGTACCATATTAATAGAGAGTATTTTGTCAATGTCTTTGGATTTTATCGTAGAATGCAATAAGAAAAAACCCTTTGATTTTTTTTCATATAGGTCAGTTTTAACTGGGTAATTTCAGAGGACAGATGGAATTGAAGAAATAAGTTTAAACATTTTTCATTTTCCCCCTCACTTCAGGTGCTTTTGAAGACAATTCTTTTGCTTCCCTGGCTGGTGCTGTCAGTGAGAATACATTGAAAGGCATAAATGACATGGGGTTTACACATATGACTGAAATTCAGCATAAAAGTATTAAGCCTCTTCTGGAAGGCAGGTAAGAAATAAGTCTTTTTAATCACTCTCATATCAGAAATGTTGTGTGAATTTTGCTAGCAAGCTAAATACATGAATCATAGAAAAAAATCATAGAATCTTTAAGGTTTGAAAAGACCTACAGGGTCATCAAGTTCAACCTCTGACCCAGCACCACCTTTTCAACTAAACCATAGCACTGAGTGCTATGTCCAGTTGTTTCTTGAACACCTCCAGGGATGGTGACTCCACCACCTCTCTATGCAGCCCAATCCAATGCTTAACAACCTGTTCAGTGAAGAAATTCTTCCTGATGTCCAACCTGAACGTCCCCTGGCACAGCTTGAGGCCATTTCCTGAAATATGACTTTCTACAGCTAAACTGTTGGGGTTTTTAATGCATTCTCTTATGTTTTATGTATTTTGTTTATAGTCATTAATACAAAAAGTCTGTCATTATAGTGTCTGAACAAATACTTAGGGTAAGGTCCTGGAGCAGCTTTGCCTTTGGCTTTGGAAGCAGAGAATCCTGTTTTCATTAGTCTTGTCAGAGTGTCTCAAAGACACTGTCACCAGAGACAGAGTGACCGATTGCTGTGACCTGCGTCTGACACAGAGCTCTTAATACCAACTCCACTGGTCTCTTTTAGGCCATGTCAGGTTTCTACAGCATCAACATTGTTCAGAGTGGGACTGTTCTTTTGTCTGTATGGCCAACTAAATACTTATTTTTGTATCTAAATACTTTTTCTAACTCTGTTCCATACAGGGATATTTTAGCAGCTGCAAAAACAGGCAGTGGCAAAACACTTGCATTTCTCATTCCTGCAGTAGAGCTCATCTACAAGCTGAAATTCATGCCTAGAAATGGTAAGGCTCTTCATTTCACAGCTGAATTTTACTCAGCCATTTAGGGACGTGGTTAGGAGGGAACTGGATGAGTTGGAATTTACTCCTCTCATTGATGTATTTTTTAGGAACGGGTGTCATTATTCTTTCTCCTACTCGAGAGCTTGCCATGCAAACCTATGGAGTTCTTAAAGAACTCATGAATCATCATGTTCACACCTATGGTCTGATAATGGGGGGCAGTAACAGATCAGCAGAAGCACAGAAGCTTGGAAATGGAATCAACATCATTGTAGCAACACCAGGGAGGCTACTGGATCATATGCAGGTAGATACAATATTGATGTCTAATCTGTGTTATTAAAATGTGACTCCTGTCCCTGTCTGACTGTGAATTTGTTAATCTTCTAGAACACTCCAGGTTTCATGTATAAGAACTTGCAGTGTTTGGTAATTGACGAGGCAGATCGAATCTTGGAGGTTGGATTTGAAGAAGAAATGAAACAGATCATAAAACTTTTACCAAGTAAGAACAAAAAAATCAGTCTTTCCTGGAAATCACTTGACTAAAATTATGTCTTCTTTCTGACTCAAGTATTATAAGAGAAGTCATTAATTTTATAGTTCTGTAAATGAACTGCGTAGTGGTTGTCTTACTCTGTCTTTTTTTTTCTAATACCTAGTATATATTACTTGTTTAACATCATTTATCTGACGGACAGAGGTTTCATGTGCACTTTAGAGATATAATTCTGTTCATATAAGATCGTTTTTTCTCATTCTTCCTCCTCTGCCTGTTTATTTCTTGAAATTCATTATTTCCTAATAAGATTTAACTATAAGCAAAAAGTTCTTCTGTCTTGCAGTTCAAGGTTTTTTTCATACCTCCAAGACCAGTGTCTTAAGAAAGTTTAAGTATTTACCTAAAATTTTTCTTTTCCTAATTTTTCATTTCGTTATTCCTTGTAATTGCTATATTGAACACATTCTCAGCGTCAACAAGGCTCTCTCCTTTTAAAAATGCAGAAAAAAACCCAGTGGAAACAGTGCATGAAAAACCCCAATGATAAATATTTTGAGTTTCCACATCTTAAATATTAAAATTCAGATCTACATGCTTAAAATGCAGATATATATTAATAACATCATGTGAAGAATGTTAATGAACAGTGCTAAAAAGAGAAAGGGAAGGAAGAGCGTGAAAATTACATGTGGAGTGGGAATTGATAGAGAAAAGAAATATTTACTTTGCATGAGTTTAATTTGGTTTCATTGTGTTAGAAAGGAAATTGTATTTTAAAAGAGATTCTTCAAAATAGAAAAAAAAATCAAAGATGGTGGCACTGAATGTTCATCAAGAACCGTTGCTATTGTTCTTGAAGTTGTGACATGGAACAGGCTGAGTCTGCATTTCCCATGTACCTGTGCAACAAGAAAATGTTGTAGGATCAGGATGTGTGTTTGAGCTGAGAGATGACAGGCAGGAGATTTCTTACACAAAAACATTTTAATATTCATGGGAATTAAATCAATTAATAGGTAGAATTACAAGACTGGTCTCTATTTAAATAATTGCTTTGTGTCTAAATTGGATTGCAAATGATATTGACATTTTCCCAGAGAGGGATAATATTGCAAGTTTATAGCTGTTAGGATTGTGGAAGTGGGGCTAGCCTAAGTAAACAACCTGTACAATCCATAATACAATTACACTGCATGTTGTTTGTCAGTAGCAGTATGTTTTAATTAGAATTTAATTGAAAAAAAGTAAGAGACTAAGAGACTTGCTCAGGGCAGTTTTCAGTTGGGTATTTTATGGACTTGCTATTTGAATTCTCCTTTAAAAAGTAAGGCTGTCTTTCAAAATAAATATTTTTCCAGAGCGCAGACAGACGATGCTTTTCTCTGCTACACAAACAAGAAAGGTTGAAGATCTGGCAAAGATCTCTCTGAAGAAAGAGCCACTGTATGTTGGTGTTGATGATAACAAGGAGACAGCAACAGTAGATGGTCTTGAACAGGTAAAGCACAAACATTAGAAGGGGTATGATCTGTGAACACACCAATTCCTCTGTGTTATTTATGGGGTTGTACAAACGATGTCTTAAAAGGTGTTTACCATCCTAGTGGGCAGAAGCCATCCAGTTGCCTAAAGGGCTTTATTCAGGGTGCAAACTATGGTAAGTTACCTGCATCTGGTCAATGTTTGCAGGACAGATGATATAAAACCTCATGAAAAAATAATATGGGTACTTACACTTGTCTGTTCCTATTACATACACAAGCTCCAGTTGTCTTTATAACTGCATATTCCACGTTAGTGACTAGAGATTGATATGCTACAGATATATTTCATTGTTTAACTATTTGGTATATTTGTTTCACAACATAACCCTTCCCTGATTTAACTGTATTGCTGAAACAGAATTCTTCTCCTTGCTTCTCCATATATAATAATGTTTAAAAATTTTCCAGGGGTATGTAGTGTGTCCATCTGAAAAAAGGTTCCTTTTGCTCTTCACATTCCTCAAGAAGAACCGGAAGAAGAAACTAATGGTATTTTTTTCTTCATGTATGTCAGTGAAGTACCACTATGAATTACTCAACTATATTGATCTGCCTGTTTTGGCCATTCATGTAAGTGTTTTATTCATTAGTTTATTTTCAATTAATCTCATAGTACCTGGAAGTTGTTACTGACCTTACATTTGACTTGTTTGTTTCAGTCCAGTTTCTAAAAAAACAGACACCCTACTCACAAAACTGGTGATGGTCCTGATTAGTCTGTAGAGAAAGGAGATAAAGCAAAGACTGGATAATAACAACACTTCAGTTATTAAACTTCCTATTTTTTGAACTAGGATGAACTATGATATTAATTTATGCTCTGTGTGTAGAAAGAATTATGTTTTTTTCCAAGAGGTCACCTTTCACAAGCACTAAAACTCAATTTGTGGAGTAAAGCTCTTGTCAGAGAAATCCAAAGTTTCTGATCCCTGAAGTGTTTGGTGCTTTTTCTAAGGCCAGGGTGATGTTTGGTTTTGCTATGGCAATTCTTACCATTTGGATGAGCATTGTAACTTTTCTGTCAAAACCAAAAAATGCATAGTTTGGGACAAAGAATTGACTGGAAGTCTATGAAACCGTTGTAAGTAACCACAAATGTCCTTTTTTATTTTGTTCTTTGGGAGATTTTTTTGCTTTTGTTTGGTTTTGTTTGGTTGTTTGCTTTTTAACCTGTAATCACCCTTAACGTATTGCTAGACTTGCAAATGTCCTTTTTCTGAACTTCAGACATTTATGCAGCCCTCCTGAACAGAATGTTTATGCAATTTTTACTTTTTAATACTTTTGGTGATACATTGTAACCTCTGGAAATTGTCACTTCGTGTAGCCCTGTGCTGTTTAAGTTTTTCCTTGTTTCTTCACTGTGAAATGATCCTGCTTGGTCTGTACAAAACCAAGATTTGGAAAGATGCCCCAAATTATTTTATATGTATAAAATAATATATATGTGAAATGAGAAATTGTATTTAAGTTTATCAGCTGGCAAATTTAGCTTTTTTTGGCTGATATTTCAAGCTCCATGTGTTTGTTTCCTTTTAGGGCAAGCAGAAGCAAACCAAACGTACTACAACGTTTTTCCAGTTCTGTAATGCAGAATCTGGAATATTGCTGTGCACTGATGTTGCTGCCAGAGGATTGGATATTCCTGAAGTTGACTGGATTGTCCAGTATGATCCTCCAGATGATCCAAAGGTAAATTAAGGAAAGAGAGAAAGAAATCAAATCTTAACTACAAACATAGTTGCAGAAAAAAACTGAAACTGCTGCTTGAGAGAGGTCAGGATTCAGCCATGATCATATCCAGCCACTGATTTCTTTCACTTCCCTTCACCATCTCCTAGGAAATCCTGCTCCTGAGACCTTTATCATCTTTTTAAAAATTACTTTTTAAAACATTCTTTTTGCTGTGAAATTAATTTAAAATCTAATCAGCTAAACAACAAAGCGCTTTTTAAGAGGAGTGTTGAATTTATGTGTGCATCCCTGAGTCTTAACAGCTTTTCCAGTTGAAATTTGATTTTTGTTTAAAAAATAATATTCTGATTTGAATCAATGTCTACTATACACAAGGGAAATTAAAAAAACTCAGAAATTTTGACAAATATACACAGCAAATTCACCAAAGCCAAGGTTTAATTTTCAATTACAGCAGACTAAGATTTTTTTCCCTCAGTAAAAGGTAAATTACTTTAGCCAGGGGTTCCATCTCAGCCTACCTGTGCTTTGCATCTTCGGCAGTTGGTTTCCCTCATCCATGTGTCAGTGCCAAGAATAAGTCTTAAGAAAGAGTGAATGATGTATTATGTTATATTAATGTCAAATTTTGAGTATTTTTTGTGAAACACTTTGATTACTGCAAGTTTTTAAGACTGATTGAGTTTGCTGTTGCTTATTCTTCCCAAAAGGAATATATTCATCGTGTTGGTAGAACTGCCAGAGGCATAAATGGGAGAGGTCATGCTCTGCTCATTTTACGACCTGAAGAACTGGGCTTTCTACGATACCTAAAACAAGCCAGGGTAAACTTGTGTCTGCATTTTAATGGGGTTTTTTGTTTGTTTACTGTACATCAGGTTTTTAAATTTAAAAACCTTTTTACTATTCAAAGATCAATTTCAATTTATTAAATTCCAAAAGAAGCGTAGCCTTCTTGTAAATGCAACCATTTTAATATGATGGAGCTGCACAGAGGTTTTTTTTGTTGCTCTCCTTATGGTCTTGTTTTGCCACTTTTAAAGTGGTATAACTTCTGAAGCAAAAGTGGTAAAAGAAGGTGTCATACTGAGCATCTTTATTACTCCAGCTTAAAGGAAGTGATAATACTGTCCTATTGATGTAAAGGCACTTTACAGATACAGCTCTGGTGTTAAAAAAGAAATCTTCTGTTATCTAGCAGGTCTTTTTGTCTTGGGTCTTAAACACATTCACTATATACAGAGTGTAAATAATTTTGAAATTTCATTTCCTCTTTTGTTTTTAAGGTACCGCTGAGTGAATTTGAATTTTCTTGGTCAAAAATTTCAGACATCCAGTCTCAGGTATGCAATGACTTTATACTACAATTACTTTGAATATTATATTTTACATGGAGATTGTTACAGCCTATAATGACTGCAGTTCACAAATAGGTGTGCTTGTTTAGGAAAGTTCCTGTAAATGAGCACTGTGCAGAAAATCCTCCTACCCTCGGTGACAGCAAGAAAATATTTAGAAATTAAAGATGAATTTTAATATCTAGTACTAAATCGTGATCATTATACAGTACAAATTTGATTTTAAGAATTGTTTTTTCACATTACATCACAAAATAACAAAAGGACAATGATGCAAAATGACAGTGTTGTCAACCTGCTTTCAGCTTTTGAACAAAATGTTCTTGTCTGGCTTAGCAAATAGGGGGTTTGTTGGGTAGTTACTTATGTTTAGATTAATTGTGAGTAATGTATGTATTGGAAGATGATTTTCTCAGACTTCAGTGTGCAGAAATACATCCAGTACCAACACTTAGGAATGTTACTATATAGTCCATATGTATTTTTAACTAGCTGGTGTTAGTAAAGCCCAGCATCAGCTAAACCTGCTTTGTGCTCTGGTGCTACAAAAATAACCATGGAGCACAAAGTTGAGTGGAATAGCATAGATAATTCTGTAGATGTGAATTTCTGTTGTTGGTGAGTTCTGTGAATCATTGTTTTGATAAGAGATCTATGAAGTTTCTTTGCAGTAACTTAAATTTAAAATAGCAAGTACAAGAAGCTGGTCCTTACATAGAGAGGTTCCTAATTAAGAATAATCAGGAAATGATGGTGTCTAATGTAACTTATTTTTAGTTTGCTGAATTAACATATGTTAAACATCAAATGAGACACTGATTTAATGAGAATTGGGAACCTGGCCCACAACAAATCAAATATCTCAGTCTACACTAGTGTATCTGCATTTTTGTCTTAGAATTAACATTTCTTATTTTCCAATGCATTTGCACCATAATAGATAAGACTGTACAGAATTGCACGGAATCGTGGAGTTTAGACTTAAAAGTATATTGTTGTTGTCCACTAATTCTCAATACACATAGTTTCATGGTGTGGCTGCAGTTGTATTCTCCTTTTTGATTAACTTTTTTTAATTATTTCTATAAATTTAATAGTTTCTCAGGCTTTGTTTGTAGTGTAATTCAGCTTCAAGCTGTTTTGTCCCTCTACTTGTTTGTAAAAGCATTTGATACCTGTATGTGCACTCAGCTGTCACAGGGCAGTTTTGCTGAAGTGAATAGAGAATGTCATTGCCACTCACAGAGTAAATAATCTGCTGGAATAATATTTATGGACTTTACAGATATAATTGTTTGTGACTCTTGGTTGTTTTTTTTTCTCTGACCAGCTGGAAAAACTGATAGAGAAGAACTATTTCCTTCACAAGTCAGCCCAGGAGGCATACAAAGCTTACATTAGAGCTTATGACTCCCATTCTCTGAAACAGATCTATAATGTCAATAACTTGGATCTTCCCAAAGTCAGCCTTTCATTTGGTTTTAAAGTTCCTCCATTTGTTGACCTCAGTATCCTTTTACTGCAGTGTTTCAAAGTTGAATTTCTGCATTATAAGTGTTCTGTGCAACTTACTGAATTCCTGTGCTACCTCGGGTTCTGGTGGTTTGTAGTTGTGGGGTTTTTTTTGCTATTAACCATAGGAAACCATCGTGCTCCCACAGTAGTTTATCAAAGAAAATGTTACATTGCACATACTATAACTGCAAAAATTGCCTACAAACATCTGTGTTTTGGTGCATGTCGATGCTGTGTGTGCCTCAGTTGCTGTGGGGCAGCAGGTACTGGAATGCCCACATGTTCCAAAGTACTGTTCTCCTCTGTGCAAAATTATTTTCATGGAAATGCACACGCTTATGTTTCATAGTTGTAGAATATTGACATAGAGGGGCAAAAGCATGAAATAGAAGGCTGTATCTAGATTACTGTCAGACTTGGCAGTGGATGGAACTTGAAGCAATAGCACTTTGGACAACTGCAGGAGTATTTAGAACCACAGGCACGTAGTTCTGGTTTCCTCTATAGTTATGCAACTCAACTTTTTGTATAGTGCTGGTATTTTTACCTCATATTAATAACCCTTTCAAAACCCAAAAAACCAATATTTGAAAGTATTCCTTTTTAAGTTCTTTAACCAATAAAACTTCAGATGTGAACAGCAACCATGGCAGAAGACTTCAGAAAAGAGGTGGAGGTGGAGGATTTGGTTACCAGAAGTCCAAGAGTGTCCACAAAGCAAAAATCTTCAAACACATCAGCAAGAAATCAGACAATCGGCAGTTTTCTCGTTAATCATCCAGTCATTAAAATGGCTGCTGGCATTGAAAGAGCCCACCTTGATCAAAACCATCTGGCAGTTACTTTCAGTTTAAACTGCTCCATTCACGTGTTTAGGTGGTTTTTTTCCGGGAACATGTTGTATTTCTCAGGTCAGGAAGACTCTTTGGAAGGGAGACTAAAGGATAAAATGGCCAGCTAATTTTGCCATATTTAAGGAAGAAGCTCATTTAATTACTTAAAGTCAATACTACAGAGGTTTTTATTAAAGAAAGAAAAATTACTTTTAGGTTTTATAGAAGAACTTGCTTTACATTTACCCTTTTTTCTATGCACACCTCTGAAAATTGTTGGAGTGGTCAACATAAGGACATTACAACATGAGATAAAAAGGCTTTGCTCACATGAATCTTTGCAAGGGATTTTAGTGCTACAGAACTCTGCACTGGCCATCAAATATGCTGAAGAATATAGAAAGATTCCTTTAGAACAGAGTGTATGGATGAATAATTAAGGCTGTATGAGCTTGTGATTAATTTCAGACATGGTATCTTTATAACAAGTACAGTGTCCAAAATAATAAATCATCTCTTACACCACTTCTGGGACATGCATAATACTCTTTTAATGTTGTGATATAATGGTAACATTCTAGTGCAATGTTTGGTTTTCCTTTATGTTCACTTTAAATCTGAAATTATCTACTGTGCTCTCTTATGAAATGCAAAAAGAAATAAGAAAAGCAGGTAACATAAATTGTACTTGACCCAGATTATGTTTTTTAAGATACTTCATAACCTTGATGCAGAGAAGGTTTGTAGTTGTATCTTGTAAATTACAAAAGTGAATTCCTTTTAAGTCTTAGTATATCAGATCAGTGGTGGGCAAAGGCAAAGGTGCTGCCACAGGACTGAGAGTGGAGAGACTCAATAAGTGAAAAAATGAAATGGGGTATAGATATACTAGAACAGTATTTTGAAGGAGGAATATAAAAGACTGAAGTGGAAGAGGCTGGAATACACATTGCAAACAAAGAAATGTGAAGGGTGCAAAAAGAATACACAAGTTGGGCAAAAGTAGAGTAACTGTATTACATATTATTTTCATCTCTGCTATTGTAGCAATAGGTAACTGCTTATATGAGACTACAGTGGTGGTGGGCAAGTGTTTAAAAAGTGTTCATGTGTCAAGACAGGGAAAGACAAATGTCACAGAATCCAGAAATCTGGACCCCATGTGATTACAGTAAGCCAGCTTTTAATTAACATTTAAAATGTAACTCGGGACCAGTTACAAAAGCATAAGCAGTTATTCCAATATAAATAGGACTGTTGTTTCTTAGGTCTTCTGAAGTAGCATGTCAGATTTAAAACTATGATATGAGCATTGATGTATGGCCAAAAAAAATAAGTGAACTTTATTTTCATCCTTAGAAAAAATAGATAATTTGGGGGGGCAGAAATAATATCACCATTCTGTTGCCAGTGCTTCCACCATTCAGAACTGAGCATTGCCTGCTTTTCCATTTCTGTCTGTAGACTTGGACTTTTCAAAATTCTTAATTAACACTGGTCAGATCTTCAGAGTTTCTGATACGTCAGAATATTTCAGTAGATTAATTTTGTCACATGGATTTGAATGTCTTGTGCTTCTAGGGTTGCATTGAAATGGCAAAATCTGCTCTGAAGGGTAAGCAATGCTAAGAACATGATGCCTGTCTCATTGAGTTCTAATCTTTGATTCTGGGGTTTCTTATATATTTATAAATAATAGATGTTAAAATAGTTCTCATGCCTGGTTATTAGTGGCACATTTTAGGAGTTATCTCTGAGACCTACAGCCTCATACAGTTTAAGGCTTCTGTCTGTAGTTGCCAGCTGTGTAGTCACAGCATGGGAATTAACTTACGTTATAGCAAAAGAAACGCTGAGGGACTCATTAGATGAACTGCAAAATTAATTACTTGGAAAGAGATGTAAGCAAAGCTTTAGTAAACCTCTGTGAAGATCAGAGCATGGTGATGTGAGGAAAAGCAGCCTGGCTGTGGTAGTGTGGAATATTTGTTTGGAACAGGAAAAAGCTGAAATGTTGGGCCCAGTCAATGGCCACCTGTCTGACCATGTGCTGCAGAGCCAGGACTGGTTGGGCTTGAAAATGCATCAAAATTCCTGCCACTTCCCTGTGTAGGCAAAAGCCTGCACTGTGGAGAACTACTTTTATCTGTCAGTCATTTTGGGAACAGCAAGCTGGCTGCTTTCCCAACAGTTTGAAAACCTCTAGCTGCACCTAATTTTTTCTTTGGAAGAGCTGAGGTACTGTCTGATACATGGGAAACACTGACAAAACAGTGCTTTGGCATGAGCCTGCACAGTTCCTCCCTGGGATATTTGGGTTGCATTTTCTTATAGACCCTAATACAAAGAAACCTTTGAACCAACCTTACTTTGGAGATGAAAAGACTGGATACTATTGCTCTAGAGTAATACTAGCTTACCCTAAAAAAAAATTTAAACACTATTACGTAAATATTTTATATGTTTGATGGCTGCACAGCCTGTGGTAACTACATAATTTGCTCTGATTTCCTGATCAAGCAGAAGAGAAATTCACGAGCTGAGACTAAGTGGGAATTAAAAGAGAAAGGGCTTCAGCTTCCTGGCTTGTGCAGATGCAATTACCTTTGGCTTTGTTTATGAAATCAGAAATGACAAGTAGTTTCTGATGAAATATCATGTATGGGGCAGCATCTGTTCTACTGTGGGGTATTGCAAGAAGTGTAAAACATAGTCAAACTGATTGGAAATCCAGCATTTCCTTTGCAACTTCCCCTGTTATCAATCTTGTGAGCAGTTAATAGACCTCAGCCCTCAGACTCTCAAGGCTTGTCTCATAACAGTGACCGATAGGTTGGGGACTAATATTGTGTGCCTTGAGAAATTGCCTCCTTTCTCTGAGAACCTTGACAAAGAAATTGGACTCTTTAAACCACTTAAGGGGATCATCAAAACTGTCCTGCTTGAACTCAAAGATTTTTTTGACAGTTCTTGGAACAGGCCCATAAAGGAGAATTCCATTGCTGAGCTACTGTTCATAATCATGAAAGATCTTGCCATGATACAAGTTTCCTTTGCCATAACAAGTTATAGACAAGCACAAGACCAGCCAGAAAGTGTTGCCATCAAATTTTTCAGGGTGAATGTCACAGGTAGAGGACACTTTTATTGACGGTGTAGAGCAAGAATGCTTGAGAACTGGGTAAGATATTATCTACTGAGGTCTGCTGTAAATAAAAAGTATGTTTATGTTTTGGCAATAATTAGCCTTTTTGTTTGATGTATGAGTTGATGACTCAATTTAAGTAAGCTACCAAGCTTTAGATACTCAAATGATTTCCTTTCAAGCCAGTGATCTGAGGCTCAGGGGAAGCAAGCTATCACAGGAAGAGTGAAAAGGGTCATGTGATTTTAAAAAAATAACATTTTAGTAGAGGTCCCACTGTGAAGGAAGGCAGGGTGCTGACAAGACACAGCACAGTTCTGTGACTTTTGCTTGTAGTTCTACCACTGTCCTATTTTGGACACAGTTTTCCAGTTATTTCACCACCACCACCCCCCCCAAACTCAGAAGGGATTTTACAGAGACCTAAAAGCCTAACAATTAGAAAAGCCAGTTATTAGCCCTTGAAAGGTGAGTTGGTTGTTGGGGCTGGGTTTTATTTGAACTAAATTAATGCTGAAAGAAGCCTAGAAGCAAGGGGCTGGGCATAAAGAATAAAGTCTGTCACTGCTCTTGACTTTTGCTCTACCAGCTTGGTTTTCTCAGAATTTGAGCTGCTTGGCTTGACAGGGGAATTCATGCAACTCTTTTTGATGCTTTTGTTTGTCCAATGCTTTTAGATTTATAGATGATGTTGAGCCCTGACAATAGGAATCCAGCCTCCTGAACTGGAATGCTCTTAGCTTCTAAAAAATCTGCTTTCTTCCATCAAACTCATAAATACCACGATGTTGCTTCTGTCAAATCTCTTTATTGCACAGCCATGTGGGGAAGAGATGACTTTTTTTTTTTTCTCAGCCACCACGATAAACTTTTGATATGGAGTTGTGAGGAGAGGTAGAGGAAAGATGCCATTAAGAGAAGGGAAGACAAATGGAAAATTGAGGTGCTGTCTAGAAACACATTCACTTTGCTATATCTGTGTCATCCAGCTTAAGAACTGCATTCACTTTAAAAAAAAAAAAAAAAAGAAAAAGCCAAGCTTGAGCATACTCTTCAATAGCAGTCCATCTTCCTAAACACTTCTGTAAGCTGCAACACTGAAAAACATAACCATCTACTATTTTTAACCAGTTGGTCAAAATTTAAAAAAATAAATAAATTCATAGGCTCTGCAAAATCTTATATAACAGTACCAAAACTTCCAAACTCTATTTTGGCTGTCAGCTCAATATGTTGAACCACCCAGGCTTTCTAAGCTCCTCTTTGAGTGGTTGCAATCACCTATGAATGTTGAGAATTACAGGAATACCAGATATGTTATTCAGAACTAAGCCTAGAGGTTCACTCATAGGGGCTGACAGACCATGTGAATTTGCAGGAGTTATTGGGTCTCTGGATAAATGTTCCTGATACATTGTCACTTCTGATTTAAAGCACTTTCTGTATGGGAAAACAGAGGAGGAGGCAAGTTCTGGCACCTTTCTGTCATTGTTATTAAGAGACCAGAGAAGGAATTTATGAAAGTACATAGTAACACTAGTACCTACAAAATGTGATTTGAGGGCCTAAATGTAACCCTAAAATGACATTGCTAAAAAAACCAAACCAAACCAACCCCACCATAAAGCAACTTCATGGTTTTATAGAAATTGTATTCACTGATATCTTTGAATTCCTTTCTTTAAGTGTGGCAGAAGAAAAATTAGCAAAATGGTGTGTGGTACTAAAAGAGATAATTCTCTAATACTAGAAAAATAATCCTTTCCCAGTACTAAGCCCTATTGCAGATGATCTGTAGCAAAACTGTATGAAGTGCTAAATGATTATTTAAACATTATATTTTCCCCTTCATTGCAAAATCTTTTTCTGGTGCTTGGCAAGTATGTGCTACTATAACTCTATATAAATTCTCCATCATTTTTTTTGTCCCGCTTTCTACATAAATTCTGGAAGGGATTATTTGTAAATAAGGATAGAGAATAGAATGGAACAGAATAGAATAGAATAGAATAGAATAGAATAGAATATTTTCAATTGGAAGGAACTCACAATGATCATCCACTCAAGGTGAGGGTACACTAATGCTATTTCAGGTGCAAACAGGTGTAATTAATATTAAGCTCAAAGATTTTTTTTTTTATTTTAGTATGGGCATAAAACTTGCCTATTCAAAAGTATTGCACAGAGAAATAAACCACACACACACCTGCCCCAGACTTGGACTGATGGTAAATTCATACAAAGGCCTTGCTTTAGATTCACTCCACATTATGATGGCAGTGGAGTTAATTCGTAGTAATAGGTGGCCTGTTTGGGGAATGTTTGTGAACACTTTGTCCAAGGAAAGAAGGATATTTCTACCAAACTTAAGAGAAATTTGAAATGAGTTGCACAGGTTTGAAGTGAGCTAGAACAAGAATCAAAAGGCATCTGGACACTGCAACTTTCTTGGATGCCAATTAAACTAGAGTTCAATGGATGTGAATTCCTAAATAACTTTGAATCTGACACTTTAAATATTAAAATCCACCCATGGAAAGCCCATGTTTAATACACAGTCAAAATAATAATTAGATAAATTCTAGCTCCTCCTCAAGAATTCTATCAGTGGCAGAAGCTACAATAGTCAAGATCAGGCAAATTAGATTTAGTCTCTTATGGTTTATTAGTTGAGGGTTTTTTTAATGTGACCACTCTAACAGGAGAAAAGGATAGTGTCAGCAAAACTAAAAATTCCCTTTTTTATTCATGTGTTGGCCTTAGCAGTACCAGGGCTCATTATCTCATACGTACTCCTGGGCAAACCCAATTCATGCCAGGATACAGATCTTTACTGACTACCCCTTGTGTTTGAAATCTTGTTTTAGTCTCTCACATCCTCATAGGCTACATAAATCTGATATTTGAATGGAATTTCTTCTGTCAAGGATTTGCTGATTATTATTAATGAAATCAATACTAGGTATAATTTATGTGACATCTAGATTCTCTATCACATTTTCAGTCATAAAAGTATGGAACTGACTGTCAAAGGGATTTGGAATTTTGGTTTTCTCTTGAGCTGAAATTTTCTAGATATTTATCAAATTATTTGCAGCATTTATATAACTGAGTTTTCTGAAAAATGCTTTAAAAGGAGGCTGCTTTTCTATTAAAGAGCTAGCAGAGGACAGAGGAGAATGTGATAAAACTGCATCTACTAGAAGCTTTCATAGGACTTTTCAATCTAAAACAAAAATGGAAAATAAGTCAGTTCAGTGTAGTCCCTTTATAATGGTCTAAAAGTAATCTGCCTCTATCTCTAACACATAGAAAACAACTTCTGAGAAATGTAACATTAAATTTTATATATTTGCTATAAAAATACAGCATCACTTTACATAATGAGTCGAAATTCTGTTATCTGAATGAATCATCATCCCCCAAAGCTGTTCCTAAGCAGCATTCTGGTTTTGGAAGTGCTTGGAAACAGGGTGCTGTAACCAAGCTGGCCTGGGCAACTGCTGCCTGGTCAGGACAAACACTTCTTTAGCACAGCTGAGCAAAGGGGAGCTTGGACAGGAATTAGGAGGATGCAGGGAGGGTTAAGCCAAGTTAAGAACTTCCAGACTGACAGAAAAAAAAAGATGGTGACAAGACTGAGTCTGAGGACATTCATTTCAAGAGAGAGGGTTCTGCAGGTGATGTTTGGTAAAGTGATAAGGACAAGGAAATATGTTTTGCAATTCCTCACCTCTGTCACTAGTCCCCTTCTCAGCAATTCCCAGGTACACAGGGAAAAGTGAGAACAGATGCAAAGGAAGATATAAAGTATTTCTCCTCTAAGACTTACAAGCAGATTACTATTTTCCACCCTTTTTTGTTTTGCATCCCTCAGACTTCCCAGCCCACAAAGAACCAAACATCCAGATGGAAAGATGACATTACTTGGTATTCACTGTTAATTCTATCACCCAGCTCCAAGCCCTTAGTCACATATTTGTTTGCTTATTTTAAGAGCAATGAAATGGTTGGTTACATACTGTCATACTCCATTGAAAAAAAAAACCTATGAAGATTCAAACTGTAGTTTCTGAAGTCATTGAAAAGTATCAGTGAATGAAACAAGGGGTTTTCATTTTTTTCATTTCACTTTGACATGGCAGCAGCTTATCATACTGTAATTGTGCATAAAATTAAACTAGGTCCTCCTTTAGTTTCAGTGGAAGAAAAATGTTTTAGTTTTGTTTTTTTTACTTTCTCGGTGGGTTTTTTTTACCTATGTATTTTATTGTGTCATGCAATTTGTATTTGTTTTTCTGCTATTTAGAATAAGTCAATACATGCAAGTCTCCTCATTTTTTTATAATTCCCTCTTCTCTTTTTCAAAGCATACCCTCGTTTTTGAGACATTGAAAAGTGTTGCCATAGCAATCTTTGAGGAGTGCTAAGCCTTTGCAGTCACAGGACAAGACAGCAGTGGGGTAATTATCAAGAAAAAATAAACGCCTTGGAGACTTTATTCAAGCCTCTGTATTATAGGACTGGGTTATTTCAGCCAAGAGGGAGGAAAAAGTGGGAGATTTCAATGCATTCGATGTGTGAAGTGGAATGTAACTCTCAGGATGTGGCACATAATGTACACATAATAAATAGGAGAAGAGGGATGGGGCACACGGCTTCTAGGAAAAGAAGATTTTGAGATCATCTGGGCTGCTTTAATGATGGTCTGCAACAAAAGGGTTGAAAACAGTAATCTGCTTGTAAGTCTAAGAGTAGGAATAGTCTGCAACCCGCCAAGGAAGTACCCCCACACAAGAAAAAGACAACCTCATTTGCTGCAGGAGCAGGAACCAATAGCTCTTATCCTGGCCCATTTGGGCCCCTAAACATTAAACTTTTGCAGTTAGTCTAAGTTTTGCTTGTTTGTATGCAGTCTTTCTTTAATAACCAAGTTAATTCACATTGTGACAAGATCCTTTTAGTCCTTAAGTTCACAGAATTGGACTGACAATTGTTGAAACATTTAGAAGTTAAAAGGCTTTTTTATCTGCTTGTTTCCCTGCCTGCTTTCATGTTTGGCTGCCTTTAAAATGTATGAAGCGTTGTTCAGTAATTCTTTCACTGGCATTTTAGAAGTGGCATTAACTAACAAAGTGAGACACAAATTAGAAAGGAGCAATATAAGGCAAAGCATGCAAAGCTGGTTGTGAAGCAGTCACATGCTGCCTGCCAACCCTGACAAATTTTTAGCAGTGTCTAGCTGTCTCAGGTGCTGCTTTAGGCTTAACTTGCAGCAGTATTATGCAAAGCCTTTTTTTGATAAGCTCTGTCAGATTCTACCCGATGGAAGCTCAAAGCAAAGGAAGCCCATTCAGCACTCAGAAGTCCTTTTCTCCTCATAATAAAAACTGGTAAGTGATGCAGATAGTCTTCTCTTTGCTGCTGGCTTACACTAGAACACGTGTCAGAATTACTGTAGGAAAGAACAGCTGAAATCATGTTTGCATTAAGGGCCTGAAAAAGGATTTATTTGCTTTATTGTTCATCTGCTGAGTGAAGTGGCATCCAAAAGTTAAGCAACAAAACAGCCTGGTTATTCTGACTACAGTCATTGCCCTTCATTTCTGTAATATTTTATCACTGTTCCAGATTCTGAAGTTGGGGACCCCTGAGTAAGACAAGCCGGATTCTGCTTGCTGTGGGTAACACAGTGGTGCTGTGAGAGGTTTGTGTTTTGTCAAATGGTGCTATTTCTTCAGTGAACATGAATGCAAATGCAAATGAAGAACGTTGGTTTGAGGAGCATTCATGTAGACAGGACCATTCTGACCCAGAAAATACTCCTTCTCTACCTCAACAATGAGCAGCCAATCTCCTGCCCCCAAATTCTGCCCCACTACAGTTTGTGATGTAGGTGTGCTGCTATTTGCAAGGAAACAAACTTCACTGACCTTCTTTGGTCTTATTTACGGATGCTCAACTTCTTCAAATCCCTTTGGATATCTCTCAACAGCACCATATGACCTGGTAAGAGAAAAGAGCCTCTGTTTTTCCACCATCTCACATTGAAATAGTCCTGATCACAGACTATGGGGAAACAGAGAGGGTGAAAATACTGGTAGTGGGTTGTAAAGGACTCCAGGAATGAAAGCAGGCTGGTATAAAGGATAACTCCCAAATACCTTAGATATAATGCTTTAAACACACTTTAGATATAACACCCAGGTTGCTATATGATCCTGTCACAGTACTACAACTACACCAAGTTGACTTGATGATCTTAAAGATCTTTTCCAATCTTAATGATTCTGTGATTTACTGAGGATGGTGAGGCACTGGAACAGTTTGCCCAGAGAAGTTGCGGATGCCCAATTCCTAGAACTGTTCAAGGCCAGGTTGGATGGAGCTCAGAGCAACCTGGTCTAATGGAAGGTGCCCCTGCCCATGGCAGGGGTTTGAACGAGATGATCTTTAGGGTCCCTTCCAACCCAAACCATCTGTGATTGTATATTCCATGATTTATTACTCAGGAAGTGACAAATAGAATCATTGCATCTCCTTTATGCTACCACATTGTTAACTTCTATTACAGACTTTAAAAAAGTTTGTGTAATGGGTTTAAAATAATTTCTGAAACATCTTGAGTTTGGGGGTAGTTGGAGTAGGGGGTGTTCTGTCACCTTATAGGGGCTGTGAGGAGAAGGGGGTGTCTTGTCACCGCACAGGCTGTGGGGACACACAGACTTCTCCTGTCTGCTCAGCCCTAGTGAGGCCACACCTGCAGTGCTGTGAGCAGTTCTGGGCTCCTCAGGACAAGACAAGGAGCTACTGGAGAGAGTTCAGCAGAGGCCACAAAGATGATGAGAGGTCTGGAGCATCTCTCTTATGAGAAGAGACTTCAGGAGCTGGGCCTCTTGAGGCTAGAGGAGACTGAGAGGGGATCTCATTAATGCACATAAATATCCCAAAGGCGAGTGCCAAGAGGACAGTGGCAGACTCTGGTGGTGCTCAGCGACAGGACGAGGAGCAACGGCCTTAAACTAAAACACAAGAAGTTTCACCTCAACACGAGGAAGAACTTCTTTACGTTGAGGATGGCAGACCCCTGGAACAGCTGCCAAGGGAGTGCGTGGAGTCTCCCCCTCTGGAGACATTCCAAACCCACCTGGACGCGTTCCTGTGTCCCCTGCTCCAGGTGACCCTGCCTTGGCAGGGGGTTGGACTGCGTGATCTCCAGAGATCCCTTCCAACTCTGACAATTCTGTGATTCTGTGAGGAGAGGGTGTCCGGCCGCCTGGCGGGGATCGCGGGACAAGCCCGGGTGAGCCGCCAACTCTCAGGGAGCGGCCGCCGAGGAGCGGCTCCGCCACCGCCCCCGGGGCGGCCGCTGGGGCGGGGCGGGAGCGGCGGTGCCGCCCTCCCTCCATCCCTCCCCGTGCCGGCTCCTCGCCGCCGTCCCGCGGAGCCTTCCGCCCTCCTGCAGCCGCCCGGGATGGTTGTGAGGAGCGGCGGGCGGGAGCTGCGTGCTGCGCTGGGGCGGCGGCACATGGCGGGCGGGCGCTGAGGGAGGCGCGTCCCGGTGCGGGCTCCCGCCCGCCGGCAGCGGGGCTGAGGACTGTGCCGGCGGCCGGGGAAGGAGGGGTCGAGCCCCGGTCCCGGGCATGGCGGAGACCCTGAGCCCCTGCAGCCCACGGGGCCAGTGCCAGCCCGGCATGGGCGCCAACGCCTCGTCCGCCAACATGGACACCAACGCCTCCTCCTCGGCCGCCCCCGCGCTGATGGGCGGCAGCGCGTGGAGGGGCCGGGAGCCCTTCTCCATCTTCACCGTCCTCATCCTGACCCTGCTGGTGCTCCTGACCGTGGCCACCTTCCTCTGGAACCTGCTGGTGCTGGCGACCATCCTGCGGGTGAAGGCCTTTCACCGGGTGCCCCACAACCTCGTGGCATCCACGGCGGTGTCGGACGCGCTGGTGGCGGCGCTGGTGATGCCGCTGAGCCTGGTGAAGGAGCTTTCGGCCGGGCGGCGGTGGCGGCTGGGCCGGGAGCTGTGCCTCGTGTGGGTCAGCTTCGACGTGCTGTGCTGCACCGCCAGCATTTGGAACGTGACGGCCATCGCCCTGGACCGCTACTGGTCCATCACCCGCCACCTGCAGTACACGCTGCTCACCCGCCGCCGCATCTCCAACGTGATGATCGCGCTCACCTGGGTGCTCTCAGCCGCCATCTCCCTCGCCCCCCTCTTCGGCTGGGGCGAGACCTACAGCCCTGAGCAGGAGCGCTGCCAGGTCAGCCAGGACCCCTCCTACACCATCGTCTCCACCGGCGGGGCTTTCTACCTGCCCCTCTGCGTGGTGCTGTTCGTCTACTGGAAGATCTACAAGGCGTCCAAGTTCCATATGGGGGGCCGCAGGAGGAACGCCGTGGTGCCCCTGCCCGAGGCTGCCCAGGTAAGGGTGGGGATGGGGAGGAGAGCCCGTGCTCTCTCCCCCAGGCACCCGTGATCCTCCTTCTCATCTGCTCCCAGCCGTCACCCCTGCGCTGGTGGTTTCGGCACAGTGAGAAGGCTGCCAGGTGTCCTGGGGGTCCCATGGGAGTTTAACTCTTTTACAGACTGGACACTGTTACAGACTGGACGTGAGCAGTAATTAGCCAGTCAAAAAGCACCACTCTTGGAGAAGAGCTTTGTTCTCATTGTTTCCTTGTGTGCCCTGAGAGTGAGAAACAGGTGCATTTACTGCCAGTCAGGAGAGCCATTTAAGAATATTCTCTTTGTTCTGAATTTGCCATTCTTTGGGGGTTTTTTCCTTTTTATTTCTTTTTACAGTGTTAGTGGGGTAAACAAAGACATAAACAGATCCCTAAGTCCGGTAAGTAAGAGTAAATGCATGCATATTTTATCTACCAACACAGACTTTGTATCAGTATCTCAATACGTATCTCAATACATTTTAATAAGCAAATTATGCACTTCATTGGTGTGCTTGGGCTATTTTTCCTCAGATACTGCTCACTGCATAGTGTTAAAGCAATGAGCAATTAATTGTTTCTGGTTTAAAATAACCTCCTGTCTTAAAAACCATGTCCTTCTTCTTATCCCAGAGATTGTCCATAATCTCGCAGTGCCTTAGTCGTGTGGGAGGTCTCATTCATTTTGGGGACACACCTTGCTGACAGGAAAGCTGTGTCCCTTCAGAAGGGTTGGAGTTGGCTCCTTGTGTCCTGTAAGTCAGGCTCTCTGCACGATGATGCTGTCAACCATGCCATGGCACCAAAGTGCTTGGCAATGCTCTCTATAAATTCTCCTTGCTTTCTGTCACATATTCTTACTCTCACTCCTGCCTGTGGAAAAGATTCTTTATGTTTTTGTGATTTCCTGTTGTACTTGCTAAGTCCAGTCCCTTCCCAATAGCAAAAGATGACCTGTGTGGATGTCAGAGATACCTGAAGAGACATTGAATATTTCTGTTCAATTTGGGCTAACCCTGCAGGGGCTCACTCCTCTAACTTTGAGTCCTGGTAGGAAACACGTTTTTATGGTCTCAAATAGAAGTCTGTATCCCCAGATTCTTGCAAGAGATAACAGCACCGGTAATTATATGTGATTAGACTTGCAAATTTGGATCGTAATGTCTTGGAGATATTTTTAATATATATTGGTTAATTAAGGTGTCTTCTGTGCAAAAACATAAAATGTGTTAGAAAACTTGAGAATGTCCCCTCTAGTGGCATTCTTTTCTTTTTTTCCTACAATCTTCACCCCCTTGTTTGCACCAAATTTCTGTCCAAATTGTTGTAAGTATGAGGAATGTATTGCTTAGAGTTAATGTATAACCTTTCCAAGCACAAAAGCCAGCTGATAGTTTTATGCTGTGTCTTTTACATACACACATACTCACACAGGACTACTTGTTTTGCATCTAAAATTCTGGGAAGCTAAATGAACTGTGGCGTTGCTGCTTGAGCCGATCTAGAGACATGTTGGTATGTCAGTTTTGGCAGAAAAAAGTCTGGCTCCTGCTTGTCATAGTAGTGTCTGCAGAAGTCCCTGTGTGGGCCCAGCATGGGTAGCAGGTGAGTGCTTTTTGCTGATGCAGTGTCTGGGAGCTGGTTCAGGCTGTACTGACAAAAGAGCTCTGTCAGTGTGAGCTGACTCCCCATTTTGGAAGGGTTGCCAGCTGTTTACTCCTCACCTAAAGGAAGGGCTGATGCCCAGGTGTACATGTGCTCATTTAATGAACCCTTGGATCAGGGGAACTGGCATTCAGGAAGCATTTCTTCTCAGTTTTCTTTCTGAGAGACTGAGACTCATTCACTGAGTTTCATCCTGATTTTATTTAAGCTTATAAGCAGGATCCATCACATCCACAGGAAGAGTAGCAATTTCCCAGTGAATTCTGGAGGGGAATCTTCAAACACAAAATGAATGTTCCTTTGGCAAAACCCTTTTCTTTGTTTTAACCTGCAAACACAAGAATAACATTGCCAGGATATGTGGCAAACCTGGTGAGGTGATCCAGCATTGCTTTTCCACATGCAGAGATGATCAAGCTGTCAGCGTCAGGTCTGTCCTTCTCTCTGATGGGGCAAATTCTGTTCCATATCTCTTGGTTTACCCATCAGCTCACTCTAATTTACTGTTTCTTTCTCCCTTAATGCCTCTCCTCCCTCTGCTTTCTTTCATCCCTTCCATCTCTGAGAATGCTCACCTGTCATGCTCTCCCTGGCAACGTTTTCCTTCTGTCACCCTTACTCTGGATGTGGATTGCCCTCTGCATGTATGTCAGTTCTCACTTCAGGTGCCCTGCACTACCCGAGGAACATTAGAGGGGTTTTTGGCAGAAGATGCCAAAGGCTGGAAGTGCTTCCCAGTCTGGAGGTGAGCAGTAACAGCAGCAGTAACAGCAGCAGTAACAGCAGCAGTAACAGATCCCTGCTGGGAGAGACGTCAGTGTTGCACTCAGGAATTAGCTGTCAGGTAGCACTGGATTGGAACTGTGCCTCATGGCTGAGGTATAACCAACTGGTTAATTCTGGCAAGTTTAAGGAGGAAAAGGTTTGAGTTCATAGTGCTGATGGGCCAGTAGGGATGCCTTGAAAAAACAGTTGCACCAAGTAGAACAGTGATGGTGAGATAGATATGTATATATATATATATATATCTATGTGTGGGTGTGTATGTATATGTATATTTATAGTTACCAAGTAACTATTTTAAGTAACTTTTTGGTTAAAATCGTACTTGTGTTTTTGAAAAATGCTTTTTAAAACCTTCAAAAAATCCAGGTGAGGGATATGGACATGAAACATCTGGGGTGCTTCTAATTTTAATGAGAACTTGTTTCTTGCCTTCCCTTGAAACAAAAAAAAATTGCAGAACTGGGATCCTAAATTAAGCTGGGGCTCTTATAATTGTTTGTTTGCTAGTTATGAAACTCCTTAAAAAGTGAATTCTGCAGGCAATACTGATGTGGGTGATCCTCGTAAAAAACCTAGTGACATACCATCACTGACAGAGAGCTATGCTCTGTCACACCTTCTTGACAACAGGTAATAATTTTCTCTCTAAAGAGTCCAGTTGAAATAAATGAAACTGCTTGAAAAGCAGCAGGTACTGCTGGATAATGCCCTTTTAAATCAATGAAGTCCCTTGTAGCATAGGCTTTGCCCAGGAAAACCATGGATGACAGAGTCTGAATGTCTGGATTACTTACAAGTAGCAATTGCAGAGTCAGGGTTAAATTTCTATGTGAGGAGTTAAAAATAAAGTTCCATTGATGGTTGGGCGTTTTTAGTTGTTGTTTTGTTTTGTTTTTTTCCTTTTTCCCTCTTGAAGTACTTGTATAAAAAATGAGGCATGATCCAAACCTTACTGTTCTGTGAGAGTCCTTCCCACTTTACACAGTATGAGGCCCAGAGCTCCAGCAGTGCAATGTTATTCTTCACCTTGGCCCCCTCCAACTCACAATGTGGGAGAGAAAACAGATTTTCCTTCTCTGAAGGGGTCACAGGCCTTCCATTTCTTATTTCTGCTTCTGACTGTACAAGTAGAAAAGATGGGTCAGGAAATGAAGTTCAATTGTCTGGAAGAGTGGCAGCAAATGTCAGATAGAAGCAAGGTGAGGCAGGAAGCAAAGTGGAGTAGCTAGTGGTTTCCTGGCAGAAATACAGTTATTGCTCCTTGCAGCAAAAGAAAATCCTGTGAGAGAAAGCAAGTGTTTTTCTCCCTATCAAATGAACTGTTTGTCCTGTTGGTGGAGCATCCAAGAAAGTGTAGATGTTCCTATCTTTTGATCCTTTGCTGTGCATTTCAATTTCTTGTGTTTTGTTCGAAGAGCAAGAAGTGCCAAAGCTGCACTGAGGTAATAATGACCTTTGCTGAATTACACTGTAATAGGCAAAACTCTGAATTTGTGGTAGTAAGCCAGATTTGATTGAGGTTTTTCTTTACTGTTGTTTTGTTATTGCAGACCCTGGAGGTGCAGGACAAACACACAGATTACCTGCCACGAAGGACCAGTAATAGCAATCATTAAAGCTATAAGGAACATTTTAAATCAAGGGATTTTGTCAGAAGCTCCTTGGTAACATGTTTTCTATGACACTGCTAGGAACATAGGAATTGGGAACATACAGTTCTTGGAGCATGTAGCCATTTAGTAGTAGTGATTCACTGGGTACAGACAAACAAGTGAAGGGGCATTGAACTATAACTGCTGATCAATGTACAGAAGAATAAATTCTGAAACTAAAACCAAACTTCTTTGTGTCTGTAGAAGAATCTGTATTTGAGATCTCATTTCCTTCATTTAGTCCATTATTCTCCCTGGAAAGCAATCATCTCTGCATTTCTCAGAGCCTGTTGTCCTGGAAATAACAGATTTCATGAATGCAGAACCTAATTCTGGCCTCAGAGTAGCAGTCCCTTCATACCACCTATTTCCCCACTGCTCCTTACTCGTAGATCCTGGAGCAGTGCCTGGGCAGATGGAAGGAAGTCTGTGCCCAAGGCATAGTGTGCTGCTGAACACTGAGTGAGAACAGTGTTCAACACTGCAGAGATGTTCCCAGATGAGAGGTGTCCCTGCTATAACCCAAGCTTTAATTTACAGGCTCTCACCACCTTTTCCACTGTCACAACCTGCTCATCAGCAGGCCTAAAACGAGTTTGTCCCTCATTTCACGTGGTGCAGGGATAATGGTCAGGTATTGTGGCTTATGTTAGAAATTGGAGTCATGCAAAGCCTCCAGGATTGGCACTGAGAACTGCAGATGTGGTATAGCCAGAGCTGTGTTTAGTTCAAGTAAATCACAACTGGCAGGGCTGGGAAGCAACCACATAATCTTTTGACCTGTGTTCTTGTTCAGACAAAGCCAAATTGAAGTGGATTACCCTATGCCTGCATAAGGGAGGGAATCCTTCAGCACGGCTCCCCTGCCAGCACTGTGCACCCCAACAGGGCTTGCCTGCAGCAGGCTAATTTACCTTCCATGGACTTTGCGTGGGTTGCCTTATAGAAAATGTCTGTAACAACATGATCTTGGGGGCTGATAGCAGAAGCAAAGATAATCTTACACCAACCAGGCCAGTGAGATGAGTCAGGTCTGCAGCAAATCATATAGAGAGCAATAAAAATAAAATTAAAAAAAAAATAAAAAAATGAAGTGATAATGAAAGGTTGGACTTCCCCAGCTTTGCTCTCTGCACTGATACATATTTTCTGATGTGAATGGCACTTCTGATTAAGTCTGTGTTTAACCTTAAAAGCCTATTGGGCTCATTCCCTGAGGAATGAGCCCCCACAGGAGAGATGAGGTGCTGGAGTTCCTGTGGGAGGTGTGGATGGTGACCGGGCAGGGAGGGAGCACTGGTGCCTTTCCAGGGCTTTGAGCACAGGAGTGCTGAGCACGGGGCCTTGCTAGAAACCCTCTGTAAATTTGGGCCCCTTTGCGGTGGTAGAAGCCAGGAGCACCTTGGCCAGGTCTGCCAAGTGCAGCGTTCCTGCCAGAGGCTGGCCCTTGGAGCAGTGCCCTGTGCTGGGAATACCTGGGAGGCAGGTGGGGTGGAGGCTTCTACACAGCTCCCAGCTTGTCTGTTGAAGGCATAGACTGAAAGACCTCGCTGAGCAAGAATACTAGTTAACCTTTTCAAGAACATTTTGTGTATCCTTTTCAAAGGATTTCTTATGGAGAATTGAAGCAAAATATCTCCAATCTGCCACACTGTTACTTAATGGAAGGTTCCATGAGAGATGCCATTATTTTTCTTAAAGGACCTGACTACTATTTTCTCTGTTATTATTATTATTACTGTTAATACAACATTATTCAGAAGTCTCAGGCAAAACTAGTCAAAAAACAAATGAAAAAAGAGCTGTGACAACAGAGAAAGTAGAAATTACTTAGGAAGATAACTACTGTCCTGTAATTTATAAAACATATCATGATCTATTTTCACTTGCTGTTTAGTATTCAGAGGCTGGATCGAACAACCAGTGAAGTTTGTAAAAGCTCCTTTGACTTCAGTAGGAACTTGACCAGGCAGTAAATGCTGGCTTCATTAGGGAAAACACCTGAGGACTGTGATATTTTCTATCAAAATAAATAAATTTTTTCTTAAGATACGTAATTAAGTGATGAAAGGGCTGCTGCTACTAAATTCTGCAATTGAGTCATAAGCCTTTTAAAACCTGAAGTAGCAAAAAGGCTCTGATTTGATGATGGCACACTGCAAGCTCTATCTTTTGAGCAAGAATTGAAGGTTAAGCATAGTACCAAACTGTGCCCAATGCTAGTGATGAAGTCCTTTGTATGGCTCTTCCCAAGAGGCACACTTATGTAACTATTCCTCAGGGCTGAGACATAATCTTTCAGGGTTGCTTGTCACAAATTTGTCCTCGTGTCATACATTCATCCCCTTTTGCAGAGTGTGATTAAGGATGTGCAGAGCAAGTCCTGCAGACAAATGGTGTGATCCTTGCTACATGAGAGGTGTCCCATTTTAATTGTCAGAACAGATGTGATTTTCATTTTCCTCCATTATTTGCCTACGCCCATAATCTGCTGCTCTTACATTCTGCAGCCATGTCTCGTGTCTGGGGGTGCAGACAGGGATATCCATCTTGAAGAGTGATTGTTTAGCCATTGCCAGTGCTTCCCTCTCTGGGTTGCCATGCTCATATTAAGTAGAGGCCCTCCATCTGTTATAAAGCTTGCGCAAAGGTGGCACATGCACGTGGAATACGTAGCTAATTTAACAAGAAGCCACCTTTGGAGTGGTGTCGAAGTCTTGCAGTGCCTGTGGATTATCACTTAGGCAAATTTTAGAGCCTCAGGTCACATCCTTAAACTGTTTCTTTTATGGCACTGTCCTCATAACTGTAGTGCCTAGAAAAACTTTAATATTGCAGATACTTTAATCTTCAGATTAAAATCACAGGAGAGTGTCTTTTTCTGGTTAGACTCTAAGCACATTAATAACTCGTGCCCAGAACCTGTTTGCCACATCTCACTGCACAGATGACTCTCCCATAGACAGACAAGCAGACAAGAAGTGGTGTCGGCAACCTGGAGTAGCTGAAATGTACTCCTCTCTTGTGGAACTTCTGCTGAAGCCAGTTTGAAGTGCAGGCCAGCTGAAATGGTGTTTTTCTCGCAGTGGAGTATTTTTTGAGAGAATACAGAATCACAGAATGGTTGGGGTTGGAATGGACCTCTGGAGATCATGTAGCCCAACCCTTCTGCTACAGCAGTTCATCTAGAGCAGGTCTAAAGGACCCTGAAGGTCATGTACAGCATGAGTCTAGTGTAGGGATAGGCAGAAGGTGCATGCCTTTGTTAGCCTGCCTTAACAACCTGATTTCCCACTAGGTATCAAGGCATCCAATAAAATGAACTGAAAAAGAATCCCACAACACACATGGCATCAGTTACTTTTTATTTAGCTTCATTTGTCAGTCACACTTGGCAGCTTTTCCAACGTAATGAGAAGTCTGGTAACTTTGGCACTCAGGGGCATTTTCTTTCTTTTAACATGGAAGGAATGAAGTTGAGGCCTTTTGTGGTAGGTGCACAGATGTTGTGCTGTCACTTAGAAATAATACTTCACTCAAAAAACTGTCTTGGTAAGAAACCATGTTTGCTTTTGTTTTGAGGTGAAGGAAGCTTCGCATGAACCACAGATGGTGTTTACAGCTCGTCGTGCAGCTATCACTTTCCAGACAGATGGAGAAACATGGAGAGAACAGAAAGAGAAAAAGGCAGCTCTGATGGTTGGCATCTTAATTGGAGTTTTTGTACTGTGCTGGATCCCTTTCTTCATCACAGAATTAATAAGTCCCCTCTGTTCCTGCAACATCCCACCCGTCTGGAAAAGCATCTTCCTTTGGCTTGGCTACTCAAATTCTTTCTTTAATCCTCTAATTTATACAGCATTTAACAAAAATTACAACAATGCCTTCAAGAACCTTTTTGTAAAGCAGAGATAAAAGGGGACACGGAGGAGAAAATAATTTCTGTGTTGGGTAATATAGAGATTTCTTGAGGGAAACATGCCTGGGATATGTACAGGTTTCATGCACAAGAGCTACTCAAGGGGATTCAGGAACAATGAGAAAGAAGACGGAAGATGTTTGGATATAAACCGACAGTTTACAGTTCCCCCTTGGAAATACATATGTGCTGCTCCAGGGTTTGGCAGAGAAGATGGAAGCAGTGAATACCTCCCGTCTGCTCTTGGAATCAACATGTGCTGAGGTCTAAAGCGAAGCACTGTGTGTGTCTGATACCATGACTGTCAAACCCAACACATCTGATCTCATCCATCCTGGAGCTCTCTCATCATTAGCAAAAGCAACAGTGGGAGCTGCTAATTGAGCAATACCAAAATGTTTGTGACAGGGGCAGGATGCTGCTTCATTTCTGAGATTTATTTGGAAGGGAATAAACATGATGTATTCAATCAGTCGTTGAGTTGATGTGAAATTAAAATGGATGATTAAGCAGCTCAGAAACATGCCCTGATATGATTGAGGGGCTGTGTGTGCTCTAGTAAGCAGTGCTTGATGGGCAGGCTTGGTGAAACATGGCTTGGCTGTGTCCCCTGGAGTCCCCTCGGAGTGAAATTTTAGAGCCAAATGTAAAATTATTCAGAGCTCCCAAGGACGTGCTCTCCTTGCACAGGAGGCGGATCTAGCCTGGAGTTTTCACCTGTGTTGCACCCTTACTCTGCAGGGCTCAGGCTCTCCCTCTTTTATGAAACCCAGGTGAGCTCAAGATAGACCCCCAATACCTCCAAGTGAACGGGGACTGGATGCATTATTGTTTCATGCTACCATATAACTGAGTGTGTCTGTTACAAACACCAAACGTGCTGTTCAGTCACCAGGTTTGCTGGCAGCAGCTTGTGGCTGCTTGGCAGTGGTAGGTGTGTGTCTGCACCGTGTCTTGCACCACAAGTCTGCTCATCACCCTCCCTGAGTGAAGTCCACAATTTGTCAGCTTGCATCAACTACCTCCTGCTATAAGAAAGGTGTTGATGCCATCAGGTGTGACTCCCCAGACCCCGAAGTGACCCAAAACCAAGCCTTAAATTGTTATTCCAAGGTCCAACAAACACTCTTGTCCACCAATATATACATAAATAAATGAAGTATTTCCTTGCATACTGCAAAATCTATCTCACTCCATATTGTTCCTCTAGTGGGTTTCACTTCCTCCCCTGCCCCGAGGGGGAGAGCTGAGAGCATCTCTGAGTATTTCTTGCATGGCAGCTTTTTACTGACGCAGAGTGCCGGCACCCTCTTCCTTCTCCTCCTAAAGCTTCCTTAGGTACTGTAAGGGCAAGTCATCATAGCTCTTATGGAGCTAGGCAACATCACAGCTCCTTCAGAAGCTGAGGTTTAACCTTTCATACTGCCCTTCTCTGCCAGTCTTGTATTTTCTGCTGCTTAAGCAACCCTTTGGTTCAAAGCATACCCTCAGGCAAACACAAACTGCACAGGGTGACTAAAAGCCAGAATTTCAGCTTCAGCAACCTGCACCACTGGCATCTTCATCTCACTGCAGCACATCACACTCAGCCTCATCTCTGATAGGTACTGACCCAATGGGCATCGACACCGGTGCTGAGCATGAAGCTCCTACCAAAGCCTTGGTATCCTGGCAGTCTCTCCAGGCAATGGCAGCTGGTGTATTTCCATAGCCAGGGACTGACGTCCTGGGCAGCCACGTCAGTGAGGTATTATCGAGTAGCTCATGTGTTCTGAAAAATAAAACAATGATGCAGCCTTTACTTCCTTAAATTTAAAGCAGAGTCAAACTTTAAAGAGTTAACTTTAAAGGTAATCTAGTGCATCTTAAAGTGATTCATGTACCTGGTGATGTCAGATTGAATTTAGTGTCAGGCATACTGGCAACTTAGACCCAGGCATGTTCCTGCTCCTTTCCAAACAAGTGATTTAAATAAATGCCATCAAAGCTCATGTTCCTCCAGCTCCTGAAGTGAGCCTGGCTGTATCTCAGGAGCACAGTGTGTGGTGAGGTCAGGCACTGCTGTACTTCACAGCTGCAGTGCTGCGACAGTCCAGTGTGACCTGCTGTGCCTGTAGCCACAGCCACCTGTGTGTCTTGTGCTCCTGCAGATAGTGCTTCTCGTCTCAATTTCAGTGGAAATTCAGAAATTTTAATAACCTAGAATTTCAGAGTTGTTACATAGTGGCTCAGACTTAAATGCCAATTTAAATAAGTTTCCCTTGTGACTCTCAACTTGCCTGCATATGGAATAGCTACCATTTAAACTGCTGTTTGGAGGCTTAATTAAACCAGAAGGAAGACACATGTGTAAGAGACTGAAAGTTACTAAAACCCACAGGCCTCATTCAGAACCATTCACAAATTTTTCAAGTCAATTGAATTTTTCATATGAAAGAAAAACTTTAAAATCCAAACAGATGACATGGAAGGAAGAAATGAAGAGGTCATCTTGAGCTGGTGTTGAAAACCATACAAATCTCTTGAAGTTTCTCATAATTGCACTTTTGCCAAATTTTAGTGCCTGGTAAGACAAGCCATTACTATCACAGAAATCCAATGCCAACCCTGCTGCACTGAAGTTAAGGCCCATCGCAGTGTGTGGCTGCAGCAGCAGCAGTGATACTCACGTTCCAACTGTCCGTGCCAGCTGACCGGAGTACACCCAGCTCCAGTTATGGCACAGGAGCCCTTCCAAGAAACAACAGGTTGTGAAGGTACATTTTACCATGGCTTGGCAGCTGGAACTTGGGAGAACACCACAGAGCTGTGAGGTCACTGCAGGTCAGTGCAGCTGCACAGCTGCACAAGTATTTGCTGCAGACAGAGATGCAGCAGGGTGCCCTCAGCGAGCGGCAGAGCTGGGAGCAGGGCACTGACGCAGCACAACACAGCTCTCCGCCTCCTCAAGGATGAATTTAGCTTCCTTAGGAGGCGAGTCCGAGCCTCTGCAATTTTGCTGTGAGAAGTTCTGAAGATAACGAGCTGGTGCTCTGCCCACCCAGGCATCTGTGACAGCAGTGAGCGGTACAGTGACAGCAACCAGCCGGCTTTGAATGCACCCAGAGGCGCCGAGGAGCAAGCGGGGCTTTCACTTCATTACAGTGGCTTTAGAAAGCTCTGAACAAAATCGACTTCCCACACTGGTTCTAAATGCAGACTGCATTTAGGAGAGCAGCAACACATGTTCAGGGTTTAAAATCCTGGGGTTTTAATGGCATGGAATCTGAGCTTAGTGTAGGGCAAAGAAATACATTATCTGGAGGTACGGCCTAACCTGCTGGGTGCTGCTTCCCACCCAAAGTCAGAAAAGGTGTTCCCATCCCCTGGCCTCCTGCACAGCAGGCCCGGAGCTTTACCCTCCCATTTGTGTACCAAACCCAGTGACCTGGTACAACAGGAGACTAACTGTTGGATAGTCATCAACCCCGATTAAAAAAATTTGGAACTGTGGATAATGTTCTACATCCCTTGGTACTTTTATTTCTGCGATTAATTACTCTCATTATTAAATCTTGCAACTTTATTTTAATTGAAAAAAAGACTAAAATCAAGCATGCAAAGGATTCCTCTTTCTGGAACTTAAGCATTAGGGTTTAGATCTGACATTATTGCTGTGCAGTTATCCTTGGCTTCAGGATGGACCAAAGAAAATATTGAAAATACAACTCCCATATGAACTAAGATAAATGACACAGTATCTTGACTATCCAAATAGAAAAAAAAAGGCAGTTATTATAAAGGAGCATCATTTTGCAGAGCTTAGACATATGGTAATTTATTTCCCCAAATAGAAGCTGCCAATTTGGAGTACAGCAATCATCTCTGCTTGCACACAGTGGACTACTAGTTTTAAACTTTATTTCCTGACACTGAATGTGCTCCTAGAAAACCCCACTGGAGCCTATTGCTCAGCAGAAGGGCATTGCTGCCTCCTGCAGCAAGGCTCTGAGAACCCTGCAGCAGCTGTATTGAAATGAAGGCCTAAGTTTGTTGTGCTGTTGGAGTCCAGACTGTGCAGAAATGAAAAGGCTTTGGAACATGAACGTGAATAGAAAATGCTAATAACCCTCTATGCTCCTGTCTCCAGGAAACCTACATGCATGCTCCAGCCTCCACAATGGAAGCTCTTCAGTAATTCATTGCTGTACCCAGGAGTTGCTGATCTTCCAGCCATTCTCCAGCCTCTGCTCCAGAGTTCACACCAGCTGCAGCCAGGGCTGTGCAGGCACTGCACGAATAAACAGGCTGGAGTTCATACATTTTTAAGATAACAGACTATCCTCAGAGTATGTCACCCACCACCCAACGAGCAGGATTTGTGTATGGCCCTGTCATGTGTCCTACTTACAAGCCCAATTTAGCAAAGCTGCTCTAAGGGGGTGGGTGCCCCAGCCAAGCACAGCTCTCCAGCTGCCTGTTTTCCATGAGTGCCAGCAGCTACACGGAGGGGGACACAGAAGTCACACCCTTTCTCTCATGCAAGTAATTTTATGTTTCTAAAGAACTTTCAGCAAAGTCTATGGCCTGTGTGGCTGGGTGTGCCCATAGTGCCTCTGGAGAGTAAAGAGTGCAGTGTGCCAATTTGCCACAGAGCAGAATGGTGTCATACAT